ATACAATAAAGCGACAACCATATGGCTCCTGCTAGTTGCCGATAACTCGGTTACAAAACATGATCATCTCATACAATAAAATTTAGCATCATATCTTGACCATATCACATCACAACATGCCCTGCAAAAACAAGTTAGACGTCCTCTACTTTGTTGTTGCAAGTTTTACGTGGCTGCTACGGGCTTAAGCAAGAACCAATCTTACCTACGCATCAAAAACCACAACGATAGTTTGTCAAGTTGGTGTTGTTTTAACCTTCGCAAGGACCGGGCGTAGCCACACTTGGTTCAACTAAAGTTGGAGAAACTGTCACCCGCAAGCCACCTATGTGCAAAGCACGTTGGGAGAACCGGTCTCGCGTAAGTGTACGCGTAATGTCGGTCCGTGCCGCTTCGTCCAACAATACCGCCGAACTAAAGTATGACATGCTGGTAAGCAGTATGAATTATATCGCCCACAACTCACTTGTGTTCTACTCGTGCATATAACATCAACATATAAAACCTAGGCTCGGATGCCACTGTTGGGTAACGTAGTAATTTCAAAAAAATTCCTACGCACACGCAAGATCATGGTGATGCATAGCAACGAGAGGGGAGAGTATGATCTACGTACCCTTGTAGATCGACAACGGAAGCGTTTGGTTGATGTAGTCGTACGTCTCCACGGCCCGACCGATCAAGCACCGAAACTACGGCACCTCCGAGTTCTAGCACACGTTCAGCTCGATGACGATCCCCGGACTCCGATCCAGCAAAGTGTCGGGGAAGAGTTCCGTCAGCACAATGGCGTGGTGACGATCTTGATGTACTACCGTCGCAGGGCTTCGCCTAAGCACCGCTCCAATATTATCGAGGACTATGGTGGAAGGGGGCACCGCACACGGCTAAGAATATGATCACGTGGATCAACTTGTGTCTCTATGGGGTGCCCCTGCCTCCGTATATAAAGGTTCAAGAGGGGGAGGCCGGCCGGCCATCATAGGGCGCGCCAGGAGGAGTCCTACTCCCTCCGGGAGTAGGACTCCCCCCCTTTTCCTAGTTGGAATAGGATACGTGAGGTGGGAAAAGAGAGAGAGAGAAGGAGGGGGCGCCGGCCCCTCTCTCCTTGTCCTATTCGGACTAGGGGTGGAGGGGCGCGCGGCCCAGCCCTGGCCGCCTCTACTCTTCTTCCACTAAGGCTCACTAAGGCCCATATACCTCCTGGGGGGTTCCGGTAACCTCCCGGTACTCCGGTAAAATCCCGATTTCACCCGGAACACTTCCGATATCCAAATATAGGCTTCCAATATATCAATCTTTATGTCTCGACCATTTCGAGACTCCTCGTCATGTCCGTGATCACATCCGGGACTTCAAACAAACTTAGGTACATCAAAATGCATAAACTCGTAATATAACTGTCATCGTAACCTTAAGCGTGTGAACCCTACGGGTTCGAGAACAATATAGACATGACCGAGACACGTCTCCGGTCAATAACCAATAGCGGAACCTGGATGTTCATATTGGCTCCTACATATTCTACGAAGATCTTTTATCAGTCAGACCGCATAACAACATACGTTGTTCCCTTTGTCATCGGTATGTTACTTGCCCGAGATTCGATCGTCGGTATCTTAATACCTAGTTCAATCTCGTTACTGGCAAGTCTCTTTACTCGTTCCATAATACATCATCTCACAACTAACTCATTAGTTGCAATGCTTGCAAGGCTTATGTGATGTGCATTACCGAGAGGGCCCAGAGATACCTCTTCGACAATCGGAGTGACAAATCCTAATCTCGAAATAAGCCAACCCAACATGTACCTTTGGAGACACCTGTAGAGCTCCTTTATAATCACCCAGTTACGTTGTGACGTTTGGTAGCACAGAAAGTGTTCCTTTGGTAAACGGGAGTTGCATAATCTCATAGTCATAGGAACATGTATAAGTCATGAAGAAAGCAATAGCAACATACTAAGCGATCGGGTGCTAAGCTAATGGAATGGGTCATGTCAATCACATCATTCTCCTAGTGATGTGATCCCGTTAATCAAATAACAACTCTTTTGTTTATGGTTAGGAAACATAACCATCTTCGATTAACGAGCTAGTCAAGTAGAGGCATACTAGTGACACTTTGTTTGTCTATGTATTCACACAAGTATTATGTTTCCGGTTAATACAATTCTAGCATGAATAATAAACATTTATCATGATATAAGGAAATAAATAATAACTTTATTATTGCCTCTAGGGCATATTTCCTTCACGCCATCTGTGTGTGTGTGAGAAGACCCATCTTGCTCATATAACCAAGCTTCACGACTTAATTTCCTCTGCTGAATCATCCTATAGGCGGTTCTCACCGAGAATATCCCCCGCCTATCTTCGCTCCATGCCCAAAAGTCGTCAATCTGTCTGGTGCAAAGTGGGATCTGCAATATTGCCTCCGCATCAATTGGTATAAAGGTCAAAGTGGGATCTGCAATATTGCCTCCGCATCAATTGGTATAAAGGTTGACCGAACTAGCTGTTCATTCCACGAGGATGTAGCGTGGTTGATTAGTCCTGAAACTTTCTGTGGCGGATGTTGGATAAGAGATGTGATCGGTCTCTTTATAAGTGAGCGAGGTAGCCAATTGCCAAACCATATGTCGGTAGTTTCACCGTTGCCAATTCTCCTTACTAGTCCTTGCACCATAATGTCTCTCCCGTCCAGAATAGCCCGCCAGATCTGTGATGGATGGTGGCCCAATTCTGCTTCAAACAAAGATACGTCCACATCCTGTAAGCTACTGATAGTTCCTATACAGTCCGGCCCATGTAGTTTTTCTTCTCATTGGTTTTGGGAACCTTCTCCGATTTATTTTTTCGGGCGGTTTTTCCAGGATGAGTGACGTTCAGTTTTATTTTATATTATTTTCTTAAACAAATTCAAAACCTTTTTGAATCCGTGAATTTTTAAAAAATCATAAAAATTTAAAATTTGCGAAGATTTTTCAAATTTGTATTTTTTTAATGCATGATATTTCTAAAATCCATGAAAAAAATTAACCTTGTGAACATTTTTCGAATACATGGATTTTTTAAAATTCCACGAAGTTCTCTGTAAAAGTCAACGATCAATGGTCAAACACTTAACTTATGACCATGATCACGAAAATAGAACCATCATGCAACAATTAAACTAATCTAAGAGTTGAGACTAGTAATGTATTTACCGTTTATTATTCTACACGTGCATATGAGTTTTCCTCTGAGCTTCATGGTTATTGCATACTTAAGAACCATAACAGTTGTAAGATAGAACATAAACATTAAATACGTACATGAAACTGAACAATAACTTTTATTACTGTCTCTAAGGAATATTCCAACACAGTTATCGTCGACCGCCATGTGGGCCAACCATGTGACCCCGTGACCATGTGTGTGTGCGCGCGCGCGGAGGAAGATGGTTTAGGGGTTGCTCAATCCGGCTCCGAACAGGCTCCCATGAGCCTGAGACATTGAGGTCGGTGTTCCCAGTGCAGGTTGAAGTTTTTTTTTTAAGTTGCATACATTTTTTTGACATGTAGGAAGCTCATATGTTTTGTTGCAAACACATGGACGACATGTTGGCATGTTGCGATGATCATGGGCGTACGTTACAAATTGTGTCTTTATGTTGCAAGTTATTTTTTGCGATGTTGCAAGCTTGCATGTTGTATATGTATAAACCCTAAAATACTATGTATTCTGAAATTACTTTTCAAGAGAATTTACTGCTTGTATGAATGGTTGGTAAACTTCTTATAGCATCTTGACCTACCCAACCGAACTAACGGGGTATTTTGATAGGGTCTTATTGGTGGAATTACCAATGGAGTGGATCTTGCTAGTTTTTGTACAGGTGAAGAAATTAAATATGTAGGGGCGTAAGTCCATCCAACAGAGATAGGTCGAGGAGAAATAAAGGAGAAAACTAACCTTGCAAATCGGTACTTCGCTTTCCTCACTGTACACACCATAGTAAGCAATATGAAACGAGTAACTTCATACTAGACTAAAATTAATGTTTGATAAAGTTTCTGGTGAGCTACCCAAGGACAAAGTCACAACAAAGAGATTATTAGGCATTGACCCACTAGAGGACGAATAACTTTATGTCAATGTCAACCGCCCAAGTATTTTATATAGGATCAGGCTTTTCTATGCAGAGGATACATAGCTCATTCTTATTTGTGTTAACAGCTTTCTTATTTTTGTGGGTTATATGTTGTGTACCTACTTACTGGAGATATGAATTTGATATCCATATAGGCATAGAAGGCATCAGGAAGTTTCAATGAATCGCCAGAATTACAACATGCACAATATTGGCGGCTGTTGCTGCTTCCTGGTACACTTTATGATGGGTGATAGAGGTTCTCAAATCAAAAGAAAACTAAGTGTTACCACTGCTTCCTGGACTACTGGTGCATTTTTCAGTTGCATTTTTCAGGCAATAAGGATTGGCGCCATAGTTAGTCGTTTGTGTATATGTGCAGCTTAGCAAAGCATGCAGTGGCTAGCTGGTCTCCATTTTTGTTAATCCTGAGTTATATATTGTGAAATCAAAAGTCATATATCTATTCCAACTAAAATTGTCTGTATGCCAGATAAACCTCTTCGGGCAAACTAGTAGGAATTTGACCAACAAATCATTGCAGCACCAAAATATCAGGTTTGTCTTGATGCACTACAAAGAATTCTGGGCAAAACAATTATACTCATTAAGCTGTGACAACAGTTCTGCAAGAACTTTGTTGTGATACAAGGATGAAGAGACTAAAAACTACAACGTTTGCATGGAGAAATATTGCGCTCTTGGATGCACGCAATGAAACCTAGTAAACCAGAACCACATCAGAGACGCCATTCTTCCCTTCTCCAAAATCTTGCGCTCTTGGATGCATCCAAAAGCATCAACCGCCCTCCATTCCCCCCTTCAAAATGTAGCCCCCCAGCCAACCGGGCAATAGATTTCGTTGCCTATTCATCATCAGAAAAGTTGTCCAAAGGGACCTCGCTCGGTTTAGCCACATCAGAATCCTGCCGAGTAAACAAAACATTAGTTAATTATACAGGTGCATGTGTTGTTGTACTCGCACAAATAATGCTATATCCAGATGATTTTTACCTGTGCTTTATCCCAGTCCTTCAATTTGGAACCAAGCATGTATGTGTCACGTAGAGGGGCCCACCCTGGCTCATCTTCACCTTTGCCAATATTCTAATAAGTAGATCAATTATGAGTTACATGCACAGAAATCCACAATTAAAGTTCAGTTATATATGCAACACTGTAGTAAAAATATGTTGCAAAATACTTAGAAACCTGCAGTTCAGCTACTTAATTACTCCAACCAGCGAACTAGCAGCTTAATTGGATAAACCAATGATCCAGCTTTATTTTACTATACTGTTAGGATCCCCTGTTCACCCGATGATTATGGTAGGTATACTGGTATTTATCCCCCAACTACTCATATATCTTTTTCAAAATTGCTAGCCTCAATAAATTAGACAGTGTTCAAACTCCACTATGCCACCACGGTCACGTTCATATGCAAAAGAGAATGGGGACGCAACGGGCTTTGCTTTAATGTCTAATGTCAAGTTGCACTGTGGTAATTTTTCCAGCTATTAGCTTACATGTTTCAACCATGCATAGTATCATTTTCTTTGTACACCAAATAACTAGTTTCAAAATCAAGTCTTGTTTGAAATTTAGTGTGACTGCTTGATACACTAGCAACGATGACTTCCATTGTCCACAAATTTAATCAGACAACACAACATTAACACCTACTCCCTCCGTCCCATAATATAAGAACGTTTTTGACACTAGTGTAGTGTCAAAAACGTTCTTATATTATGAGACGGAGGGAGTAATACATAAGCCCCTAAACTGAAGGGACAGACTTTTAGGGGTTGTTTGGATAGCATGTTCTGACAGAATCCGTTTAAGTAAAACTGATTTCACCCCGAGGTTGTTAGCCCGAACTGAGTGCTCAGAGCCAAACTGCGAGTACTCGGGGGACACTATGAGCAAGCTAGCAAAAAAATTGTGGACTAGCACAGGGGAGACTCTTGATTGGTGAATGGAAAACTGATTTCTATTGCCAGCAGTTGGGCTGTATTTATAGTACAATGGAGGGTCGGTTCCTGAAGTTTAAACCGACTATGGCTGCTAGTACAAGCAAACCCTGAATTTGCTACTACCTGTCTAGATGCATTCACTTCCTTATTAAGAGAGCTCTACCTGACCTGTATCTTATCCTGAAATGCTGCTACGATAAGATAACCTGCTCCTAGCAGCATATTTTGACTTATGTTGCTGTGTTGAAGAGACTTCTGTTGACAGGGTTTAACCCACAGAGGTTAGCGCAAACTCTGTTTGCATATCATAGTCCATCTGTGGATTACTAGAACTTATTTTGTCTAAACTCATAATTTTGCGTTTATGGAAAATCGACTATCGTTTTTACAAAAATGCATTCTCTCATGAAGCAACAAAAGCCAGTCTCAGATAGTTTCTTCCGTGACATTAATGCCGCCGCCATGAAGGATTGTGCCACCTCTTGCCAGTCATCATTTTTGCAACGATTACTCATCGTCGCCACCGATGTTTCCCCCCTCCACCACTGTCGGCCCTCGGCCATCGTCGCCGTCGCTTCCGCCCCACGCCACTGCTGGCCCTCGCCCATGGTCATCGCCGTTGCTTCCGCCCTACGCCACTACCGGCCCTCGCCCATTGTCACCAGCGACGCCTCAGCCTTACGTGGCTATGCCACTGCCGACCCTCACCCAGAGCCGCCGACGCCACTCCCATGGTCCTCGTTCAGTAACTACAGTTTCTATGTGAATCTGCTGTTTTGGCTGTCCGTGGAGGATGTATAAGAGCAAGCTACTGCTTGAGGAGATCGAATCTTCCTACCACAGAGCATGCGGACGACGTGACAATAGCTCCAGGGAGTCCCTTGCTGGATGTTGCTGCCACCAGCAACGCTGATGCTACTTCCTACAGTTCACATGGTGCTGCTCTCAGGAGGATGGAGAAGACATCTTGCTCGGCCAAAGCTGTGATTTCGATCTCAGCGAGATAAGCAGGATGCAGCTGCTTATCGCAGCGGCCTCACAATCAGAAAGGTAATGCAGTATTTCTTCAATAGCATCATCATGCTCGGCCAAAGCTGTTGCACAGAGTCGATGATTACATGTGTGTCCGTCAAGGGAGAGAGAGTTCAGGGACAAAGGAAAAACTATTTAATACTCTCATCCAAATTTGAAGTTTTCAAGTCCAAACGACATCCTATAAATCAGCTTCAACAAAACAACAACCTAAAACTGGTTTTCCTAAAAAATCCTATCAAAACTGGTTATGCTAACACTTCCTCCAAATACTAGTTATCCAAACAATCACTTAAAAAGAAAGAAGTAGGTGTAACTACCTTTGAGAACTTGGAAGATCCCTGGCCTTGTTGTCCTTCGTTAGATGGTACAGAGTGTTTTGCCAAAGCTACAAGGACGAACAGGAAACCAATCAGCCCATTTGGATATCATTCACAGTTCAAAAAAAAAGTATAGAAATGGTTGTGAGCATCAAAACTAAACACAGAAGATAGGCATCATGTGCACAATCATGCGTCAATATGATGGTGTGCTAGCATCAAAAGAAATATAGCATGTGACATCTCCAGCTGTTTTCAGTTATAATTGATTTTCAAGGTTATCTGCAAATTCAAACCCTCTAAAAATGTAAGCAGTTATATGCCTCTCCCAACACTTGGTCATTCAGTGGCCCATGAAATGGTGATGTTTATAGAGTAGAAAGCAGACATGTATCATGTCCATTGCAACACTAACTAACATCAAGCTGAGCTTTGAAGCTCCAGATTGCACCTAATTAGTTAAAGGCTTGATAAACTATGAGTCCAGATCTGTTTTCCACAAGTTTCACTCTGCAATTGAGATGTTTGAAAAGAAGATTTCACATAATTCTTTTCAAGCTTGATTAAACAACAACCATTCTTACAAGATTTCAGAAATAACAACACCCGGATCGCCAAGTTATATGTCATATTGTGATGACATGGGGTCATGGATGCATGCTGATATTTCATTCTTGGATACAGATTGAAAGCGGAAAGGAAAGAAGAGGCAGTTAACATGTTTTGCATAAGGCTGATCTGTTTCAAACAAAAATGGATAAAGATAACCAGATTGTAATAGTGGTGACTAACTGGCATTTCATACAGCAAATTGTATTTCAGACTACTATCCTGTCTAATAGGAAACATGTTCGATCATCCTGTCAACAAATTATTTGAGTTGTCCCATGCCCACTAAAGCTTTTCTTTTCAAGATAATTAATAGATAATGATAATACAAAGTTTGACCATCCACAAATTAGAAGTCCAAAAAAGTAGGCAGAATCAGATGAATTTTAAAATATTGGAGGAAGTCAATAGCATTGAAAAGGAAAAGGTCATACATTTGACATCTTTACTTCTTGATGGATTCAAACCTTTCCTAGTCTGTCGCTTGCTCACCTGAAAAAAAAACAAATTTTAAGACCTACTAATTAGCTAACACAAGGTTTTCCAAAGTATATACAAAATAGAGTGCAGGGCCATATTTAGGAAAGAACCTAAACGTTCCAATAGGTTCCAATTCTTAAGGATTCCAATGAAGTTAATCAAGTAACCTACACCAGAAGAACTCCTAAGGATTCAAATCCTCCAAAACCGTAATGAAATTCGTTTGAATCAAATAAGCGCATAGTAGGTAAGTAACTAAGTGTGGAACTAATTGCAGCTTGAACTAAGCAAATCTCTTTCTCGAATATATACAGGCAACTGAACCGAGTGTGATATGTATGAGAGAGAGTTGCCCTATGTTGTTCATTAGAAAGCGATGTGAAAGGTATCACGGAGCCCCATCCAAGTCTTAGGATAACTGGCGTTGCATAGCATATTTTGCTGAACGCCCCAAAAAAATTAGAACCACAAATTCACCTTAGGATGAGAATCCATGGAAGATCCCTAGAATGAGTAATTATATACACAACAAACAGAGCAACATATATGTCTAGCAGTTAAGAAAAGACAAGTGTGCTTACCTCATTGAACAACCTGACAACTGCATCATCAATAGAGTACATGAAAAGATGTTGGAGAACAAGCGGTGAGTTTAGAGAAGTTTGATATTAGACGGAAGCAAAATGACATAGTAGAAAACAGAACATTACCTCCTTGGGTTGCAACCTTGATAAGCATCTTTTCTTTGTTGTCAATAGCATTCTCGGGTATTTTATGACCCTTCTGCGCAGCCTACATTTGCCACGAAACAAGAGGTCATGCCCTGAACACAAACGCATTCTAAGTGCAAGGTGAATTAGCGAGCAAGCGAATGAGGTGTAGCATACAATGCGCTTCTCCTTGCGGGCCTCTCCCTTGGACTTGTGCTCGTCCGCCTCCTCGGCCAACTTGGCGGCGACCAATTTCTTGTCCGCTGACAGAATCGGACCCTAGCAACAAGAAGAAAAGGTGTTAGCCCCCCCTTTTATGTTATGCATCATCATGACAGAAATGTAAAAACGTTGAGAACTAGCGGAGTATAACCAACCAATGGGTTGTCGGCGAGCTTCTTCTCCATGATCTTGGTGAAGGCGGCCTGGAAAGCCCTGCAGCCTTCCTGGAACATGGTGACCGCCCTTTCCCCGTCGGATTCCCCGCCGGAGCTGGAGGCCTCCTCCTCGGACGAGGGGGCCTCTTTGAGGTCGTCGTCGCCATTGGGAGCAGCATCACGTTGCTTCGGCGGCGGCCGTGGCTGCGACCTTCGTGGTCGGGCTTCGGCATCGTCGTCGTCGTCGGAGTTGTAGTCGCGGGCGCGCTTCTCGAGCAGCTTGAGGAACTTGGCGCTCGGCTTGCGGCGGCGGCGGGTGGCGTCGTCGGGGCCCTTCAGCTTCTTGTTCTTCTTGTTGGGGTTGCCCTTCCCCTTGTTCTTGCGCTTGTGGGGGTTCCCGGCGGCGGCGGCGGCGGCGGCGGCCGGTGCGGGTTGCGCGGGGGAGTCCGCCATGGACGGAGCCCGTTAGGCTGTAGGTTTTGCCTCTCGGCGGCGGCCTCCTCTTACTTCGCAGGTCAGTGACGACGGCTAGCGTAGCGTGCGGCGGTGGCGAACTTGGTGAGGGCACGGCGGTGGCGGGCTCGCGCAATGGGGAATTGGGGAACGGGGATTTAGGATTTAGGGTTTAGGTGCGGTAAGGCCGGATGGAGAAGTACGGTGTTGCCCTGGGCTGGGCTAAAAGCAAAGGAAATGTGCCGCTGGTAGTCCTCGGTTTTTCTCCTGTGGAGTAGCAGTTGTTATGGGCCGTAGTGGTTTATGTATCTCTTCCACCGGCTTTTCTCCTGTTTTATGTGTTTCTGCATTGGTTTTTATGGGTTTCCCTATTATTATTATTCTTCAACGCATCACGTGGAATTTTTTTATCAGTTTTGCTAAAGCACATCTAGATGTGCCATAAATATTGCACATCTAAGTCATATGTCATTGATCTTACATTGAGATTCGTGTGAATATTTTTTTCTCTTTTTTCTTTTTCTCTTTATGCCTGATTCACTCACTTAGATGTGCAATAACTAGAGCCCATCTAGATGTGCCCTAGACACACCCTTTTTTTATACATGTCAAACCTTTTTAAATGCCTTATGTACATTTTTAGATACATGTTTTTGAAATTTTAAAAATATGTGTTAAAACATTTAAGTAGATGTTGAAATGTTTTTTCAAATGATAAAAGATAATTTATTTAACTAGGTCAACATTCTTGTCGCATAGTATAAATATTATTTTAAATATCACCAAAACTTAAAATTTTGTTACAATTTTCTAAATGTGACTTATATTTTTGTGAATTTTATGCAACATTTTTTAGTTAAGTGAAATTTTTTTACATTGTATAAACTTCTTTTGAAAATGTCACCAACATTTCTACGAAAAGCTTGGACATTTTTTATGTACATAATTTTAATGCCATTAAATTTTTAAAAGTTGCATCAATATGTTTCTAACATTGAATAAACATTTTTTAATGTCACAAACATTTTCCTGAAACATGTGAACTTTTTTATGTATAATTTATTAATGCCATTAACATATTAAAAATTCTGTGAAGATTGTTTTAGCACTGCATAAACATTTTAAATATAAATAATTACAATCTAGGATATTTCATAATATAAGTTAAATTATAAAAGAACAAAAATAGGAATAAACGAGCGAACGAAGCAGCATCCCACTCGGCTATGTTTAATGGGCCAGCTGTAACGCCCCGAGACCGAGCCCGTTGCGCCAGGTGTCTTCCAGTTATTCGTTGTTATTGCATTGTCATTCGCTTGCGTGTTGCATCTTGTCATGTCATCATGTGCATTTGCATCATCATGTTTTCAAAACTTGCATCCGTCCCGGCCTCCCCGTTTCTTCTGTTGTCCGTTCTGAGTCCAACCACGCTTGCACGAGCCCGCGGCATGTCCGAAATATTATTTTATAAGTGGCCGGAAATATTCTCGGAATGGGTTGAAAGTTGGCGTGTGGTCTTATTATAGTGTAGATAGACCGCCTGTCAAGTTTCATCGCATTTGGAATCCGTTTGACGCCCCAACGGTTAACTATAGCGACAATATAGTCGGTCAAAACGTCGGACGTTTTCGGTCTCCGGAAACAGATGCCGGGCCCTCTCTCTCTTCTCCCCTCGCAGTCTCGCCACAGCCCACCTAGTCCATCCTCCTACCCCTCTTCGCGTCCGGAGCCGTCCGATGCGATCGCACGGTCCGAAAACCCACTCTGCGCAGTGCATCGAACCCCTCGCGCGCGTCCGGAAGTTGTCCCGAACCCGACCCGAACAGTTGTCATCGTTGGACTCAAAACATCCCCGGACATCTACAAAACGTCTCCGTTTTTCTATTTGGGCTACCTAACCTATGTTTCCCGTCCGTCCGATTAAGATCGGAGGGACCAAATGCCCCTATCCAAAAATCCACTTACTATATATAGACCAATCCCCTAGGCAGCAACCCTAAAATCTAGGCCTTTTGTCCTCCCTCAGCCGCCGCCACACTCCACCAAATCCACATCGGGATCCTCCCATTCCTCCTCCCACCAACCAGAGCTCGAGCCCGAGCTCTTCGATTCGAAGCCACCAGAGAACCTCGCCGTCGGTGACCTCGTTCCTCTCCCTTCCTCGTTTTTCTTTCAATTCCCCCTTGTTCCTCTCCCTCACCCCGCAGCCATGGGGCTTCGCAGGTCCCATCCATGGCCGCCCGATGGAGTACAGCACCGTCAACCGCAAGAACCGTCTGCCTCATCTCCGTCTATGACCGGAGCCGCCGTCCTCGCCCAGATCCGCGCCGCCTGCAGTCCTTCTGCTCGATCCAGATGGGATCAAGGCCGTGCCCCTCGTCCGCACGCCCTTGTTTAGCTCGATCCAGAGGAGAGGACCCCGGCATCGTCAAGCTCCTCTCGAAGCTTTTCTTCGCCATTGTTGTTCAGCGCCGTCGATGCCCGCCATGGGAGAAATTCAAGCAGCTCCTCCCGTGAAGCCCTGATGCGCCAAGTTCCGCCTCCGGTCGATCCTGCTGCGGCAAGTCCCGCGCCGTGCCGTTCTGCTCCGCTCCCGGCAGCCTCCACCTCGCCTGCCCGTAAAGCTCCATCCGCCGCTGCTGCCCCGTTTTGCCAAGCGTCGTGCCCCTGCTTCGTCTCGCTGCGGGAGGAGCAGCGAGTCAGCGCCCAGCCTCCCTGAACAAAGGACGAGCGCCTCGCCCACTCGCGTTGACCAGCCCTGCCTCGCTGACCTGCTCGACCGCCAGATCCGCGCGCGCCTGGGCCGGCCTCGCCTCGGCCCAGCTGGCGGCCTACCAGCTCCTCCACTGACTGGGCTTGGCCCATGGTGTGGCCCAGTCCGCCCCAGTTTTGGCCCCGTAGTGTTTTTTTATTGACTGGCGATTTGTCTATTATTCCAGAGACAACAGTTTTGCAGGAAACCCCCTAAACAACATGCATATAATAACTCTCAATTGGTGCATCGGATTAAAATGATTTATATATGAAAAATGCTTAGAATTATGTGTAGGTTAATTATATCCAACTTTCATGCATGTTTGAAATGTTTAAAATTGCTGTTTGTTTAATTTTGCCCCTATGTCATGTTAAAATGCTTTAATTCATAACTTAATAACCGTAGCTTGGTTTTAAATAAACTTTATATGTAAATGGCGTGGAAAAATGCCTTTGCATGTTTAACAACTATAAAATATGGTTTAGGGCAGAACAGTATCAAACTTAATATATGCATATGAGGATTTTCCGGACTTGTTGCTTGTTGTTCCGGCCTCATTTAAACTTGCCTAGATAGGTAGTTTTCATTTGCTTCACCCTCTTGCCATGTTTAACAACATTTAATATTATTGGGTACATAAACAAGATCGAACTAAATAAGTCACGTGGTGTTTCGTCAATATGCAACGGAGTTGCATATTGAGCTCCACTTAATTTGTAGGGTTGTTTGTGCACTTTGCCATGCCATGCTTCAATAAACCGGACATGCATCATAATTTCTTGTGCATCATGCCATGTCTATGTGGTGGTTGTTTAGTATATTGTTTGCTTTCTTTCCGGTGTACTTCTTCTCGGTAATCCGGTAATGTCGCGTTTGTGAGAATCCGTTCGACTTGTTGGGGAACGTAGTAATTTCAAAATATTTTCCTACGCACACGCAAGATCATGGTGATGCATAGCAACGAGAGAGGGGAGAGTGTTGTCTACGTACCCTCGTAGACCGGAAGCGGAAGCGTTAGCACAACGCGGTTGATGTAGTCGTACGTCTTCACGGCCCGACCGATCAAGTACCGAAACTATGGCACCTCCGAGTTCTAGCACACGTTCAGCTCGATGACGATCCCCGGACTCCGATTCAGCAGAATGTCGGGGAAGAGTTTCGTCAGCACGACGGCGTGGTGACGATCTTGATGTTCTACCGTCGCAGGGCTTCGCCTAAGCACCGCTACAATATTATCGAGGATTATGGTGGAGGAGGGCACCGCACGCGGCTAATAGATCTCAAGGATCAATTGTTGTGTCTAGAGGTGCCCCCTGCCCCCGTATATAAAGGAGCAAGGGGGAGGGGCGGCCGGCCAGGAGGAGGTGCGCCAGGGAGGAGTCCTACTCCTACCGGGAGTAGGACTCCCTCCTTTCCTTGTCCAACTAGGAGAGGGGGAAGGAAGGGAGAGAGGAGAGAAAGGAAAGGGGGGGCAACGCCCCTCCCTCCTTGTCCAATTCGGACTAGAGGGGGAGGGGGCGTGCAGCCTGCCCTGGCCGCCCCTCCTCTGCTCCACTTTGGGCCCATGAGGCCCATTAACCCCCGGGGGGTTCCGGTAACCCCTGGTACTCTGTTTTATATCCGATAACTCCCGGAACCATTCCTGTGTCCGAATATAGTCGTCCAATATATCAATCTTTATGTCTCGACTATTTCGAGACTCCTCATTATGTCCGTGATCACATCTGGGACTCCCAACAACCTTCGGTACATCAAAATATATAAACTCATAATGAAACTGTCATCGTAACGTTAAGCATGCGAACCCTACCGGTTCAAGAACAATGTAGACATGACCGAGACATGTCTCCGGTCAATAACCAATAGGGGAACCTGGATGCTCATATTGGCTCCTACATATTCTACGAAGATCTTTTATTGGTCAGACCGCATAACAACATACGTTGTTCCCTTTGTCATCGGTATGTTACTTGCCCGAGATTTGATCGTCGGTATCTCAATACCTAGTTCAATCTCATTACCGGCAAGTCTCTTTACTCGTTCCGTAATACATCATCCCGCAACTAACTTATTAGTTGCAATGCTTGCAAGGCTTATGTGATGTGCATTACCGAGAGGGCCCAGAGATACCTCTCCGACAATCGGAGTGACAAATCCTAATCTCGAAATACGCCAACCCAACAAGTACCTTCGGAGACACCAGTAGAGCACCTTTATAATCACCCAGTTACGTTGTGACGTTTGG